GAAAAAAAAAAAAAAAAAAAAAAAAAAAAAAAAAAAAAAAAAAAAGAAGTACATTATTTTAATCTTAGTGTCAAAAACCATATGGTAAAAAATAAAGATAACCACAGAAATAGTGTCCTTTTCTGAAGGACAGAGAGTTAAATAACAGTTAAATAATATATATGAAACATCTGGTATGAACATGGCACTTTGTAGACACTAAACAAACTGGAACTATTTCAGACAGTTCTCTGAACTCTGAAGAAAGGTTAATAACTTTGATTTCCTAATGATTGGATTTAGCTATAACTTCAGAGAAGTAGCTACAGTTAAAAATTCTATTCTATGAGAAATACTACAGAGAGAATTTGTGTAACGAAGCCATTTCCAGGTGCTTTGCTTTGTTAGTCTGATCATAATGAACCTTCTAGAATGTCTTCTCTGGTTCTTTTCATCTCATAATCTATTGCTTTCATATTGTAGAAACATTCATATTGTTTCCATTGTAGGTAGAGATGAGTTGTAGTTGATTTAGAGTATTATTATCATTATTATTATTATTTTTGAAACTGTGCCATGGTTATTTTCTTCCAACAGGATAAATGTTTACTACATATCTCTGATGTATCAGGTCCTGTTCTAAGTGGGGATGCAGAGGTCCAAAAAGTCCCTTCTCCTAGGGTTTCTAATGCCACCTCAAACATCTGGATATCTCCACTAAAAGTTGCTACCTAAGTAGCCTCTCAGGCAGCAACAAGTTAAAATAATATGACTTGAGTGTTTGAACTGCTTAAAGGAGGACATGGTGGTTGTATTATGTCACACTTTCCATGTTCCTTCAGAATACTTATTTCCACTAAGGAATTCACCTCTGGGAGTCTTGGGATCAATTCCTCTTCACTTCTTGACCCTTTAAATCAGGGCTATGATGTCTAACAAAGTACTCATTTTAACAAAACACTAGTAGAATAAAACAATCAAAATTTTTCTTTTGTGTTTTTATGAAATTTTATTTATAATTTCATAGGTTTATATCCTAGCTTTAGTTGTGATTGCAATTCTTATACTCAACGTTAATAAGTAGTAACCAGAATTATTGTTTTTCTAAGGAGGTTATTATATCTATTTATCCTGTACATTTATAATTTAAGCCTTCTTTATGGATTTAGTAAAGATTTTATTTTCTATATATCACACAACTAAAATGGTAGGGAGTAAAAGATTAAAGATTATTAGTAGGGTTTGTGAATTTTCATGCCTTTTTGTTTTCCATATTTCCTGCTGTATATCCTTTCCTGCTGATGGTACTGATAAGGAAAGGAAAAGAAAGGTACAGAACTTAACCTCAAAACAAACAATGATACAGCAGAGGATTGAAAGAAGACACGTGATTTTAGAAATTTCTGTGCCTTTGACATATCCATACACTGCTGATGGGGATGAGGATAGTGCCGGATGATGAGGAAGACACAGTTCCCATTTACTGAGCGTCCACACAGTGCCATAGACATACCAAACTTATATATATGTATTTAATCATTATTCAATCCTTGAATGAAGTGGGTGTTTTTATCTGTTTTACGAATGGGGAAACTAAGGCTTAGGAAGGTAAAATAACTCGTTCAGAGTCACATAATGGTGATGACACCATTCAGTACTCAAACATATCATGCCTCTTAAAAATATTGAAATACTAGTATTTTTATTGGTACAATGTAGTTATTTCCATTTTTAAAACTCTAAAAATTTTTTAAATTCTAAAAATCTAAAATCTGTATTTTTTAAAAATGTCTTTAGATATATGTAGAGAGCTGTGTGCTGCATCAATAGTTTAATGCTAACAAAGGTACACTTTTGAGCATCTATGGAATAAATACAAAAGACAATGGCAACTGTATCTCACTTTTAAGTAAGATTATCAGGATGTACATTGATATTTTCAATGTTATATTAAAAAGGCACTAAAATACTAGTATTATAATTTTTGCTGTATTGCAATTATTATCAGTGGTAAGTAGCAAAGCCAGTGTCCAAATCCAGGTATGGGGGCGGCCAGCCCATGGCTTACTCAGGAGAGTGCAGTGCTGATAACACCAAGGCCATGGGTTCGGATCCCATAAAGGTATGGCCGGTTGGCTCACTGGCTGAGCGTGGTGCTGATGACACCAAGCCAAGGGTTAAGATCCCTTACCAGTCATCTTTAAAAAAAAGAAAAAAAAAATCCAGGTATGGGAAACTGCAAAGGCATGTAGTTTTTAAGCCATTCGTGCTTGAAGTAGTCCATCTGCAGATTGTTCCTGTTCAGAGATGAGATAAAGGTCAGTCAGCATACGGCTTCCTTCATCAAAGAAGTCTTGTACAAAAACGATGTCAACTGAATCTACTACTGTAGTCTGCTTATTGGTATAGACTGACAGCAACAGTCTAGTAAAGGTCCACAGACCGTACTTTGAGTAATATTGCTCTAAGCTGCAATGTCTCTGAATTCTTAGTTTAATCAGACAAAACCTGCTTGTGTTGAGTAGTGTAAACTCTGAAAATGTTAGCAAATTTTTAATGCTATATCGATAGATAATTTTAGTTAGATGAGGAGAAGCTTTACTTAAGATAAATGTTAAAATAGTAATCATAATGGCTGGTCACTCTCAGAGAAAATGGTGTCAGTTCTGATCATCTTAAGTCAGGGATTAGTGATTTAGGCTACAGCTGTATATAAAAACAAGAGACAGTGGAATACTATGCAGTCACATAGAAAGAACAAATCTATATGAAAGGACTTCTAAGATAAGTAGAAAAAAAGGGAAGTGGAGAGTTGTCTATATAGTATATATATGAAGCTATTTGCATGCATATGCATAAACTATCTCTAGAAGAATATTTAAGAAATTCGTAATTTTATGTCAGGGAGCAGGACAGGTAGATTTAGGGTTTTGGATAAGAAAGAGTCTTTTTAAATATAAATTTAGTTTTGTACTGTTTTAATTGTTATCATGTACATATAATATTTTTAAAACTAAAATACTAATAAAAAAGCAGAGATCTATTTTGTTCTGTTAGTTTGTCAGCATCAGAAAGTCTCATCATTCTTTATATGTTTTAATATCTGATGAAAATTATTATGGTTTCCTCAACTGCAAAATTAGAATTGTAGAAAGAATTGTAGAAAAGTAAGCAATTGTTTGTGAGCCTATCAAAAATAAATGAAAATCTAGAGAAAATGCCTGCCTTTATCATTGAATGAAAAGATTAAGTTTAGCTGAGGAATGTGAGAGATGCAGATGCAGTTTTTCATTCTAAAATATTCTATATGACCTCAGGTCCTACAGAAGAATCAACAGGATAGTAAGAAATTGGCATCACTGTCTATCCAAAATGAGAAACATGCTAATGAACTAGGGCAGAAGGTAGATCACATGAAATATCAAAAGGTACAGCTGCAAAAAAAACTTCAGGAAGAAAACGAAAAAAGGAAACAACTGGATACAGAAATTAAGCGGGATCAGCAAAAAATCAAAGTAATATTGTCATACATTCCTGCTAAGTATAATACGAAATGTTAAATGGCTCAGAGCTAACAAAGCCAAGGTGTTGATTCAGTTGGCTTGTGAAGTATCTGTCCCTGACCTGCCCTTCACTGCTGTCCCTTATTCACTTTAAAGCTTTGTTTATCTATATAGTAAAACCTATTTATTGAATTCTGAGTATTGTCTCGAAGGCTTTGACTTCACAAAAGAAGGTACAGTGATAAAATTTCTCTTAGTCTGATCTTAACTTTACTAGAGGCTGCCAAAAACATAAAGTTATAAAGCTGACTTTCTAAATACCTATCATTTGAACAGGATTTCTCATTTTCACACTGCTTTGAGGTGTATTGTCCATGTATCTGTGTGGAAAAAGGTACCAGGTAAAATGGTATAATTTCATTCATAGTGAGCAGAAGCGTGATTGGGTTTGTATGCCCACAATTCTATAGGCTAGATCGGGCTGGGGACAAACTAGTGGTGTCAGCCTGGGCTGTGGAGCCAGGCTAGCGTGGCTTCAGATCCCAGCTCACTCAGTTCCCGGCTGGGAGGTTTATTGAGAAAATCACTCGTCCTCTCTGAGTCTGTTTATTCTTATCTAAAATGGCCTTACTCATACTTGTCTTACAGGGCTTTTTTGAAAAAGAGGATGATAATGATCATAATAACTAATACTTACCTAGAACTATGTGCCAGGCTTTGTGCTGTTGAAGTGTTTAG